TCAGTTATAAGATGAATAATGTATACCATGATGATTGTGGTTGATAATAGGGTATTATGTAACTAAAATTTACTAATGGAGTAGAAATTAAATGCTGTCACCACTGCAGCCATGAAATTAAAAGGCACTTGCTCCTTGGAAGAAAAGCTATGACCAACCTAGACAGCATATTAAAAAGCAGAGACATTACTTTGCCAACAAAGGTCCGTCTAGTCACAGCTGTGGTTTTTCCAGTAGTCATGTACAGATGTGAGAGCTGGACCATAAAGAAAGCTGAGCACCAAAGAATTGATGCTTTTGAACTGTAGTGTTGGAGAAGACTCTTGAGAGTCCCTTGGACTGCAAGGAGATCAAACCAGTCAATCCTAAAGGAGATCAGTCCTGAATTTTCATTAGAAGGACTAATGCTGAAGCTGAAACTCCAATACTTTGGCCACCTGATGTGAAGAACTGACTCACTGGAAAAGACTCTGATGCTGGGAAAGACTGAAGGTGGGAGGAGAAGGGGACGACAGAGATGAGATGGTTCGATGGCATCACTGACTCGACGGACATGAGTTTGAGTAAGCTCCGGGAGTCAAGAAGACTCTTGAGAGTCCCTTAGACTGCAAGGAGATCAAACCAGTTAATCCTAAAGGAGATCAGTCCTGAATTTTCATTAGAAGGACTAATGCTGAAGCTGAAACTCCAATACTTTGGCCACCTGATGTGAAGAACTGACTCACTGGAAAAGACTCTGATGCTGGGAAAGACTGAAGGTGGGAGGAGAAGGGGACGACAGAGATGAGATGGTTCGATGGCATCACTGACTCGACGGACATGAGTTTGAGTAAGCTCCGGGAGTTGGTGATGGACAGGGAGGCGTGGCGTGCTACAGTCCATGAGGTCGCAGAGAGTCAGACATGACTGAGAAACTGACTTAACTGATCCTCTGATGTGGCTCACTGGTAAAGAGTCCTCCTGCCAGTCCAGGAGATGCAGGTTCCATCCCTGGGTCGAGAGGATCCTCTGGAGAAGGAAATGGCAACTAACTCAGTATTCTTGCCTGAAAAATTCCATGAACAGAGGAGCCTGGCAGGCTGCAGTCCATGGGGTCACAAAGGGTTGGATGCGACTAAAGTGGATGCATGGTGTTATGTGAAAAACTGGCAATGTGCTACTCTGAAAAATTCAGTGTAATTTTAGTAAAATTATTTGTTTAATGTAATATTTTATTTTTAAATTATATTTTAAATTATTAAATACTTATAGAAACACTTATAGAAAATTAGACAAGAGAAGTGAAACTGTCATCAGCTTTATAAGTGTTATCAAGTTGCTCTTTGAAGTCATGGTACATACCAATATATGCTTCCACCTTGTTCTAATGTTCTCACATGCTCCCCCAATACATGGTCACATCTGATTTATTTTTCTAATCTGATGAGAAATTTTTGTATCATTGTTTTTTCATATTAATTTGTGGTTTATATAGTTTATTTAAAGAAGATATTATTTATACATTTTTCTTAGTAGTAGACCTAGGATTTATATTTATCTTAATCATACTGTATCTTTAAATGGTATCATACACTTCACAAACAGTATAAGAATCTTACAACAGTATTATTTCAATCTCTCCTTCCACCTTTTGTGCTACTGTGGTCATATGTATAACTTTTGCATATGCTATAACAATACATTGCTGTTATCTTTTGCTATAGACAGTTAATGATTGATTCACTTTGCTGGACACCTGAAACTAATACAACATTGTAAATGTGATTAGACATTAGAAAAAATGTGATTAGATATAAAAACTCTTTTATATTTACTTTCATTTTAACCATTTCTAGAAAATTTCCTTTTTGTCAATCTAAATGTCTGTTAACACTGCTTGAAAGACTTCTTTTGACATTTCTTGCAGTGCAATTCTGAAGTTAATAAATTCTATCAGTAAAAAAAAAAATAAATAAAAATAAATGCTGTCACCAGATATTTTTTAAAGGTGTGAGGTGATGGATGAGTTAATTAGATGAGAACAATCAGTGCTTATCAAGTTATTACAATGTATACTTTAAATTTCTTACAATTTGTCAGTTATACCTCAATGAAAGTCGCTCAGTAGTGTCTGACTCTTCGCAACCCCATGGACTGTAGCCTGCCAGGCTCCTCTGGCTGTGGAATTCCTCAGGCAAGAATACTGGTGTGGATAGCCATTCCCTGCGCCAGGGGGATCTTCCCAACCCAGGGATTCAACTCAGGTCAACAAAGCTAACCAAAAAATTGTCAAGTTTCTTTTGACTATGGTCACAGAATACCCAAGGGTAAAAGACTTCATAGACAGGCTAACTGAAGCAAAGTTCATTATAGAGTGCAGATGAACTCTTACTGGATTTTCATAGTTCTCTTTTCACAGTAACATGGAAAGGTTAGGCTGGGCTCTTGGGGTGTTAACAACATGGCATTGCCTGTCTCTAAAATCAGCAGTAGTCTGGCTTAGTCTCCTTGCTTCAGAACAATTACAGTCCATCTCAGTTCACTGATTCCTAAAATGTTGATGTTCCCTCTTGCCAGCTCCTGTTTGACCACTTCCGATTGACCATTCATGGACCTAACATTCCAGGTTCCTATGCAATATTGCTCTTTACTGCATCAGACTTTCACCACCAGACTAATCTGCAACACTGGGCATTGTTTCCACTTTGGCTCAGCCTCTTCATTCCTTCTGGAGTTATTTCTCCACTCTTCTCCAGGAGCATATTCGATATCTTTTGACCTTTTCATACTGCTCATGGGGTTCTCAAGGCAAGAATGCTGAAGTGGTTTTTTGTATTAGTTCAGGGTCAATTTAATTTTCACATTAAGGGTCCTATTTTCCTGCTTCTTTGCATGTCTGATAATTTTGGATGCCAGAAATCATGATGTTAGCTTGATATGTGTATTTTTGTATTCTAAATATTCTTCAGCTGTTTTGAAGTGCAGCTGCTTGGATGTGGGTCGTTGGGGTCATGGTGTTAAGTCAGGAGCACAGCACTCTTGGCTCCAGGGCTCACTGGTCTCTACTGAGGCAAGGTCCTGCTGCAGAGGCTACCCGATGCTTGTAAACCGTGAAGTGTCTGATTCTGGTTGTGGGACCCGGGACCGTGTGTGTGTGCTGGGCATTGTCGCTTACAGCCCTTTTGGGTGGCCCTGTCTCCAGCCAGTGCTGACCAGTAGTCAGGTGAACACTCAGAGGGGGCCTTTAGGACATCGCTGAGATTCCCCCCTGGGCAGCTCTCTCCCATCTCATGCTCTGTCCTGGAACCCGAGCAGCCAGCGTCTTCCCTGGACCCTGCGTTCTCATTCTTTAACTCAGGGACCCACCCTGACTTCACCTCCCAGGCTGAAGCTGAGGCAACAGAAGAGCTCACTTCCCTTGTTCCTTTTCTCTCAAGGGATCACAGGGCCTTGTTGCATGATGTTCAGTGTCTTAAAAATCAGTGTCATCTTTTTGTCTGGTTTTTGGTTATTTCACATGGAAGTAGAGGGTCATAATAGAAGGTAGCATGTACAATAGACACTCTTCAAGTACTATAGAAACACTTTTAAAATATCATAGAAATACTTTAACAAATCATCACACTAAACAGGCAGTTTTAACTATAAGCCTGACTAGAAATGATCACCAATCTAATTCTTCTCTCCTGTTCTGGATGAGGATGTTAGAATTCTTGGCAAGTATATCACACTCAGGGACAATGTGTTTACAACCCATTAAGGCTGATCTCTCTCGTGCAGTAATTGGGACCTTATTCCTATGCAGAGTTCAGGACCACGGTTTTCATGCCATCCCAGGACCAAGGATAATTGTTCCGTGGGGCTCCTAGGCTGTTTTAAGATTCTGACTCCCCAATACCATCAAATTGACTAGTGTTCGACTCTTTGTGACCCCATGGACTTGGGGTCCTGCCAGGCTCCTTTGTCCATGGAAGTCCTCAGGTAAGAATACTGGAGTGGGAGCCATTCCCTTCTCTAGGGGATCTTCCCTACCCAGGGATCAAACCCAGGTCTCCTGCATCGCAGGCAGATTCTTTATCATCTGAGCCACCAGGGAAGCCCCGTACTTATAGAATCCAAAGAGATAAACACCAGAGGAGTTCGACAATTTGAGGCTTTTACCAGCTGCCCGTTTGTGCAGATACAGAAATGGACACACTCCAATAAACTTGCCTCTGAATGTCAGTTAATCAACAATGGTCTTACCCAAGTAACTACACTTCTACAGATGATGTCAACCCATTTAAACTTCTGAAAATCTTCCAGTGCTTGAACTCCACGCTTCCTTAAAATCCTATATAAGATCAGAGGCTGGCTCTGATCAGGGAGGACTCTGTTAGACCAACATAGCTCTTCCCTACCACAGTAAAACAAATCCAGCAGTAAATTCAGCTGTGTTTTTTTATATCATCTATGGAGTGGTAGGCTCATCAACCTCTGAGACTGTGATATGCTCTCCAGTTTCATAATTGCTCACTGTATTTATTATGGTTTCTTATTTATTAGCAGCAGCTATCATTACTTGAACATCAATTAAGCTAGGCATTATGGCAGCTATTTACATATTTTAGGTCTGGATTAACTAATCCACTACTCTATCTGAAATGAAAAGGTAAAGCTGAATTTATTGCTTACTGTATGATAAGAGACAGCTTGGTTGGTCAGGCATAATCTCATGGAGCAGAATTCAATAACTCTGTAAATGTTGAAGGAAGCTGCAAATACAATCTCTGAGATATCTTATATAAAAATAGAGACATGGTTTTACTAAAGGTATGCTAGTAATTACCTCACATAGAAAAATATATGTTTACTAGACAGTGGGAAAGTTTTTACCTTTTTCCAGGTTACTATATTTCCAGGGATTATCTACTAGATGTTAGACTAGAACATTTCACTGAAAGTATATCATCAGTACCTCATTAAATGCTTTTTGATGAAACTTACTTAGGAAAAACAGCCAAGTATCATGCAACAACATCTCCTATCATAAAACACATGAATATAAATTTATTGGGTGGAAAATAGGGAAAGGAACAAAAAAGATGGGATGGTTCTGAATTGATATCAAAGAATCCATAAAAGGATAAACTTAGGTCCAAAATCCTCAGCCCACATCAAAGACTTCATGTTCTGATGACTGTGGAAACAGGCCAGTCCTAGTTGCTGGGCTCAGGCAATCAGGGTGATGAAGCTGTTCTAAGCTGAAGAAGCTGCTCTGTCAAGGACATCACTTTCTCTCTAGTTCAGAGTGGCACTTCTTGGGCACAAGTCTATTCTGTTTATTCTCCCATCGATGCAGAGCAGACTGGTTTGATGTGCTGTTGTGCCTTTTATCTTGGTCCTGTTGGAAAGAACACACACCCCAAACTGTTCACAACAACTGTAGAGCTGAGGACCTATTTTGTCTTTATGAAGGTCATTTTTTTCCCCATAAATATAGGTGGTTCTAATCTAGACAGCATGGGAGAAGTAGAACTTTTAAGAAAGAAATTCAGTTCACTGGTTTTCTAAGCAGTATGGTAAAGAAATCTACAAATTAGTGGAGTGAGTAGCTGGATGAAGAGAGGACTTGTGTAATTAGAAATCTGAGAAGGAACAAATCCAGAATTGCTTAAGACAGTTAAATATTCTACCTCTTCCCGCCACCTGTCTTCCCGGGGAAGCCTCTGCAACCGGTTTTTGGTCAGCTCAAGTTGTAGACCGTCAAACCTGCACTTAAACCAGCGGTGAGCTTCTTCCAGGTTAGCTGTTATCTGAATGTACAAATGTTATTAAAAATTACAACAAAGAAACAGTTGTAAGTTTTTCTGTGTACTAGTTTGACTCTTTTTACACTGTATAATTTAAAAGCTTTATTCCCCCCCACAACTAGCAAGTGGGTTTCACATTAGTGTGAAAGTTTTCTTACTATAGCCAGTTTGAGAGACTTTTTACCTAGATATTAAAGACTTATATTCTGACTGCATGGTCTTTACAACCTATTTGCATGTACACATCCTCCTACAGATGAGAGAATAATTTCTGAATGTGGAGTTAAAGAATGCATGCAGCCCTGCTACTTTACATGCATTTGTTAATATTTTCTGGATGTGAAGTGAGGTGAGAGAGGACTCAAGAAAAAGTAAAGGTAGGCATGAAAGTGTCAGATGGCACTGAAAATTAATGTGGTGGTCTGAGCCACATTCTGAATTTGAGTTCTGTTCTCTAAGACTAAATATTTCTCCAGAGTCCCTAAACTATAAAGACTAGATTTTTTCTGCTGTGTTTTATGAAATTAATAATAAATAAATAAGTATAAATAAGAATAAATTAGTAAGAACACTGGAGTAGCTTAGTGTAAATTGTACTCTTTATTTCCTTTATCAAAATATTTTATATTTTAGCCCCTAAGCACAAACTTCCAAACTGTCTTTGTTAGACTTGAAAACAGTTCCTCTAATAGTCTGCCTTTGAAGACGATCTGGAATCAGTTTCATTTACTTGACAAATATCTGAGTGCCAATATGTGCCTGGCACTCCACTAAGTATTTGGGATATTCTAATATTCTGAACACGGAGCCAACAGGGTTTTATATAAAGGTTGCTTCAAAATGGCTCTACAACATATCCTCTAGAATAAAAAGTAAAACGACTGACTTCCCTCTCTTGATTACTTATGTTTCATGGACAGCATTTTCATGTTTTGACTCAGTTCTCAGAGTAGTATATTTCTCTGTTGCTTGAGAAGGCAAATTTGGGAGCAGAGGCTTCATCTGGCTTGTTCACCCTCTAATCTCCAACACCTAGCACAGCGCCTGCCATGTAACACGTCCTCAAATCTATGCTATTATGTACCTGTCTTGTATTAACCAGGGCACAGTGTGGGTACAAGTGTGAGATAAGAAAGCGGAGCTCTCCTTGTCATTAATTCTTAGAAAGCCACAAAGCTAAGTGTTTTCCAGTCTGTGCATCCTGATGGTAGACACCTCTCCCACCCAAACGAAACCCTGCTTTTCTCTGGCACTCTATCAGAAGTGGAGGGAAAGATACTTGTAGTGGCATCACACATTATCTCTCCTCTTGTATCGTGAATGAGAAGGGAGCTAACGTATATGCAGACTTACTCCGAGCCATCTATCAGAGAAACAGTGGTAGGTAACAACTTCCTGTTACAGAGGTGGTAACTGATGAGTTAAACAATGTAAACCTAACTTTACTTAGGCATAGGAAGTGTCACAGTTGGCAAACTCACAACAGGAGTCCATAATCCGTTTAATATACCATTCCGACAGTCATACTGTCATGTAATTTAATGGCTATAAAAGGGACAAGCTGGCAGCTTGTCACTGTGCTACCTGTAGTGAAAGAATCTCCTTCCTCCTCTGGATAATGAGGGGTGGTCGTGGTAGACTAATAATTTTGAAGATCTTTTCCAGTTCTAAAAAATGTAGGATTTTACAAATAGCTTTTATAAATCAACAACAAAAAACCCAACTGAAAAGCGGGTTTTTGTTTTGTAAATAGACATTTCTACAAAGAAGACATACAGATGGCCAGTAGGCACAGGAAAAGATGCACAACATTGCTAATTATTAGAGCAACGCAAATCAAAACTACAAGAAGACACTACGTCACACTGGTCAGAATGGCCATCATTAAGAAGTCTATAAATAACAAATCCTGATGAGGATGTGGAGAAAAGGGAACCCTCTTACACTCTTTGTGGGAATGCACACTGGTGTGGCCACTAGGGAAACAGTATTCAGGTTCCTAAAAAAACTGGAGCCACCATAGGATCCAGCAATCCTACGCCTGGGCATACACCTGACAAAACTGCCATTCCAAATGATACATGCACCCTATCATCATGGCAGCACTATTCCCAAGAGCCAAGACATGAAAACCACCTAAACGTCCATCGACAGGTGAGCAGATAAAGAAGATATGGTGCACACACACAGTGGAGTGTTACTCTTCCACACGAAAGAAAGAAAGCATGCTGTTAGCAGCGACACAGACGGGCCTAGACATGGTCACGCCGAGCGAAGTGAGTCAGAAAGGAAACCACCACAGGACAGCACTTACACGTGGAATGTAAAATATGACAGAAATGAACGTATCTATGAAACAGCCTCACAGACAGAGACAAACTTGTGGTTACCAAGGGGGAAGGGAGTGGGGGAGGGAAGGAGTCAGAGTTTGGGATTAGCAGATATAAACCAGGACACACAGGATAGATAAACAACAGGCTCCTACTGTACATCACAGAGAACTACCGTCAACGTCCTGTGATAAATCACGATGAGAAAGAATATATGTGTAACTGAAGCACTCTGCTACATAGCAGAAATTAACACAATGTTATAAACCGGCTATATTTCCATAAAAATATTCTTTTAAATGTATGATTTTAAATACCTTCAAAAAGGCCTATTTAAGAGACATCAAATTCACAAATTGATAAGGTCTACTTTATATTATACTATATTATTTTTATAATATATTTATATTATATATTTATATTTATAAATATAGAAATATTTATATTTCTAGTTATTGGTGGAAAAGTGTTTCTACTTTTATTAGTTCATGTCAAATAATAATCACTAAAATTCAAACACATGCTGGTCTTCCCTTATATCTAGTGGTAGGGATATCAAGTTAATATCAGTATTTCAGTATTCTATGATCTCTCATCAAGACACAGAACCTTAATCTAAAACTACTTGTTCTTTATAACATGTTAGAGGTGATAGTGAGTAAGGTATTGGTTCTTGCCTTTTGCACTTCTGACAACTGTGTTAATGGAGGATTTTACAGAGACTTTTGTGTTTCAAGGTCATCTGTGTGTCTGGCTCACCTGCTCTGATTCCACACTGGCTTCTTTCAGCTTATTCTCTGTTGCCTCTTTACATTTCTTTAGGTGTCTGATAGTTTCTTCCAATTCCTGAAAATGTGATACAAAGATTTTTACAAACTCCCAATGTACCATATATGGGAGAAAAACCTTCAATATTGTAATAAAAGACAAACCAAATTATGAAAGTATGATGGGATACTTTCTAATTCCAGGTGCTAACAGACTACAAGCTAAAAACTTGTTTTCAGTTTAACTGACTGTATACACATTTGTACATGATGACAGATTTTGATTTATTGATTCTCCTGAGGAAAGGTGATTAACGTTTCTTTCTAGAACTGAGGGAATAATATTTGTAGCAGACGATCTCTGTTGGAAGGCAAGAGCTTGATGCTCTCCTGAAATCCCTTTTCAGGAATAAAATATGCTTTTCATTAGGTTGGGAATAGGCAAAAGTCCTGTAATGGCAACAGACAGAGAGATCTGAAGTAGAGGTAAGAACCAACCAGTCTAAAGTTCCTGAAAGACTATGAAATTCAGAAGTCTTACTCAGTAACTAGTACTTTGCATATGTGAGCCTTAGCTGTTCTTTAAAAATGAGGTTTCTTTTTTTAACATTGAAAATGACAATGAGGTGCTATATTCAAAGCTACAGGCTTCTTCCTAGATATGATTCTGAGGTCTTAGCTAATATTAACAACTTGTAAATTTGTTTTCTTCGCTAGAGCCTAGAAAAGCAATATGCCCTAATGTTGGGTTCAGCACATGGCATTTGCTGGTCATCTCTGAGAGGAATCCTAGGAAGCCTTTGCACCTGGCACCGACTCTCCAGCTCCTGCCTCAGCTTCCGCTCAGACTCCAGGCGCAGCTCTTGCTGCTTATTCCGTGCTGAGGTATCATACTGGCTCCTGGCCAACAGCTGCATCTCCTTCTGCAGGTTAGTCATTTCAGACACGAATTTCTGGATACTCAGTGACTGCAGGGCACAAATAGGGAGACGGTTGGTGAAGCTGCCCAAGTTTGGGACTTTACATGAGTGGTAAACAGTGTGTGGAGATCATCTACCTGTTCGTAGTTCTTCCTCTGATACTGATCCTTAATTAGCTCCATATGCCTCAGTTCTGTTTCTATTTGCTGAAAGTAAATGTGGAAATAACACAGAAGGATAATCAGTGGAGAAACTGGCTTGCTCCTTTTGCCTACAGGATGACAGAAAGAATCCCACACGAGACCCAGTTATCAGTTCCTGCTGGGCTCTTCTTCCATCCAGCCCACTGACCCCAACAGAGCCAAGTCCTATACAGTCCCTGTGGGAGGAGAGCCTGGAGCCAGCATGGGGCGCTGGCAGCTAATGAGCAGCCGAATGTTCACACAGCAGCGTCTTTGCTGCAAAGAGAGACAGCTCCCACCCCCTGCAAGGCAATCTGCCCACGCCCCAGGTGTAGCTATAATTTCCCAAGGTCACAGGGCAGTGTTAGAGCTCTGAGACCATCTTCCTCCAACACCACTGCCTGCCTGGATCCTCATCAGATACTAGCAAGGGAGGGGAGACCGAGGGTTTCTCAACAACCTTCATCCTCTCCACGTTCTGAGAGTTATTCGCCTTGGCCGACAAGTGGAGCTTAATCTGGGCCCTCTGGTTCTTTATTTTCTCCTTGCTGCTGTTGAGGAGCTTCTCCAGCTCCGTAAGTTTCTGCCGCAGCTCGCGGTTGGTCCGGGACACTTCCACTGATCTGAAGTTGGCTTCATCAAGGGCTTTCTTCATCTGTGGCACACAAAGGGAAAATGAGAACATTTTAACCTCCCATTCAGTAAGAGGAGGTTAATTTTAGCTGTGTCCCTATATTTTGTTCTCATTGGACTATTCTTTTAAAAAGGAGGTTAAGTGAGGCAGTAAGAGATTCGTGGAGAAACACTCTGTGATTTAATGCTAAAAAACATAATCTTTCTTAGAACACATAAACAATATAAATATATGTTCATCATGTATTAAGAGCATGGCTTTTGTATCAGGCACTTTAAATCTCAACTTCACCACTCACTAGTCAAGTAATTTCAGATAACATCCTTAAGCCTCGGGTTCATCTCTGGAGAACTGAGGGAACAGGCTACCTCATAGGAGTCATTTAACAGTCAAACAAGGTAGAAAAAGAATATAAAGGCTGAAACAAATTGCTCAGTGAACATTACCATGCTTTAAAGCTTTTTTTTTTTTTTAACTAAGCTCATCTCTGTCACTTGTGATGTCATGTTTGGAGAAGTGAAAATAAATTATATGGTAGTTTATGTAATGGGCTTCCCTGGTAGCTCAGTGGTAAAGAATCTGCCTGCAATGCAGGAGATCCTGGTTTGATTCCTGGGTCAGGAAGATCCCCTGGAGAAGGGATAGGCTACCCACTCCAGTATTCTTGGGTCTCCCTGATGGCTCAGATGGTCAAGAATCTGCCTGCAATGTGGCAGACCTGGATTTTATCCCTGGGTTGGGAAGATCCCCTGGAGGAGGGTATGGCAACCCATTCTTGCCTGGAGAATCCCATGATCAGAGGAGCCTGGTGGGCTGCAGTCCATGGGGTAGCAAAGAATAGGACATGACTGAGCGATAAGCACACATGTAAATACCTATCAGCTACTGACTATTGTTGCATGCATTTATTTTTAATTGGAATATACGTATTTTTATATTATTGCTTTTCTATTGAGGTTTAGTTGATTTATAATATTTTTAGGTATATGAGTGATTAAAATATAGATTATACTCCAGTTGTTATAATTTTTTAGATTATATTCCAGCTATATTCTGTGTGCTGTATAATATACCCTTATAGCTTATTTACTTTACATAATAATTTGTACTTACTGCCTTTAGAAATTTTAGGAAACTTGCCTTGTGGTAAAACAACAGTGATTATTAATAAAAAACAACACAACGGCCCCAAACAAAATCACTTATGCTAAGCCCTACTGTCACCAAACGTAAATAGTTTGGCTCTCCCAGAAACAGACTCTCAAACCAGTCAATCAGGAATTGTCTGATCAGCATTAGTCGGGGAATCTGCCTGGTAGACACCTGCCATCCCCTAAAGGAAGTAAGTTTGCTGTAACCCATCTACTCTTTTGCCTAGTTTAACTCTCTTGTTCCTGCTCCCTTCTGCCTGTAAGAGTCTTTCATTTTGTACAACTCCTCGGACTGCCTTTTACTGCAATCAGTTGCATAATGTCCAATTCAAACAGATTTTTGTTCAAATAAACTCTTAATTTTATTATGCCTCAATTTATCTTTTAACATTACTTAAATCATTTTACAGAGTTCCTCTCCTCCTCTTGTATCCTTGAATTTTTAGGAAGAAGCACCTAAAAAGTACCACTTGATTTTTAGGAAGAAGAGGCAGCTGAGAAGGGAGAAGAAGGGAAGGTGGTATTCTCTATGGCTGGTAAGTGTTTAACATGTCAAAGAAAGAACCAAAATTATGTTACCTTTTCTCTTTATATTAGCTTTTTTCCTTCAGCTCCTAAAGTCACACTACAGTGTTATTTAGTCTTCTATCACCCAACCAAATTTCTGTTAGATATTCCACCATTACCTCAATCACAGCTTTGTTGAAACTGGGTAAGCCTTAAAAACTATCACTTTCTACTTATGTTCAGGGACTGTTATAATTACTTTTCATATATTTTCCAATTTAATCCTCTAAACCACCTTGGAAAGTAGTTGTGATGATTTCCATTTTATGATCAAGGAAACATTCAGAAATTCCATTTTATGATCAAGGAAACAGACTCAAAAGTTCAGTCGTCTGCAGATAGTAAACTACCACATGCTCTTAGGAGGCAGAGCTGAGGCACTTAAACAGTGCACCCCGAGGCCCCTCGCGGCTAACTGCTCAAGACAGCACCCTCTTACCACTGTTCTTTGGTCTCCTGTAAAGTTCACGATCTTCACTGATTCCTGTTAAAAGGGTTTAAACTAAGTATTCTGAACAACTATCTCTGATTAAAGGTTATCTTTAACTTCAGTGTCCATTTTTGTTTCCCACAGAAATTGTTTTTATTGTAATACTTATACAGTGCTTTTGCAATTTACAAAGTACCATATAAACAGCTGAATCTGATTTTTGAGACTGCTCCTTGTAAATTGCAAAGCAATGCACTAAATCTGGCAAAATACAGACCAGCCACTCCAACTAAGTCTTGGAATTATTTTAATTACTCCCTCCCCTTTGCTTATGATACATTTTGTGTATGTTTGATTTTTCTATTAAAAATGGCTTATTTAGTTGTTCCCTACTTCCAACAGAACCGCTTTTCTTGGCCCTAATCATCTGAAGCCAAGGTAACTGCTCTAGTTCCCATGAGTCTCCATGTTTCCAGTTTATCTTCATTATTATTTACTCTCCACCACCAACAGACTAACCTACTTAAAACTGTGCTTACATCCTTCTCAGAAACCTACAGTGCGTTACTTTTTTTTTGCTTTACTTTTAACTAACGGTTTCCAGCCAATATTCTGGTAGTTAAGACCACCCACCAGTTGGCTTCCATTAAGCTAGCCCCTCTTTCTCAGGAATTTCCTAGTCCCTGCTTTAATCAAGACAGGCAAACGCTTTTCCTTTGCTCACACACCCTGTTCATTTTTCACTTGCTTATCCTCTTACACAGCATGTCCCACCCCTGCAAGCGCTGCCAGTCTCAGTCCCGTTCTTGGTCAAGCTTCCCTCCTCCTCCTATCACCCAGCCAGCCTACAACAAACTTTCCTTTTCTCTGAATTCCTTTAAAATTGTACATAGCTTCTAAATACCAGAGAGTCTTCTGACGTCTTCCCTACTCATCTCATGTAAGAGTGGAGGTGACAAATAAGGGGTCATTTAGTACAGACCACGTCTTCTACTGTATGCCTTTAAATATGCCTCTCAGGAGAAGGTAGGTGCACGATGGATGCTAGTGAAGTAAACTGAGGAGATAGGTGAGTTGCTGTCTGTCTAGCAGATGGCAGTCTCCTCCTTTCTCTTTACCACTCAAGTTATTATTCTCCAAGGAGAAGACTATCATCAAGGCATTCCTTCACTGGGCAGATAACTGTGTATCGAACAGCTTAGAGCTGCATCTCACTTGCTGGTGAAAGGAGGGCCAGAAGAGCTAAGGAACAACTGCTGCCGTTCTCGGGAACCCTCCCGCTGGCAGCCACCTAGAGGACGGACGCTGTGTCTTTTGGCCACATGCCTCCTACCTCAGTCACTTCCCGCTGTGCTGCTTTCCTGGCAGTTTCTCTCTCAACCTGAAACTGCTTTCTTAGAGCATCTATGCGTTCAGCATGCAATTCTGCTTCTATTTTGGATTCTTCACTCATCCGTTCTCTGTTTTGAAAAAAGAGAGATTTAAATCACCTTTAGAAAACATCTTAGGCAGTATGATTTACAACTGAGCAGATCAGTCACCATGTGAAATCAGTGATCTGGAACTCATTAACAGAAAGAAAAATAAGCATTTACCTACAGCCTTAAAAAACAAAGTCATTAATATAAAGAGATCCACCCTTAAGAATGAAACACATATTCTTGTTTTAACCAATATTGAATAGTCCGGAGCCAGCAACATTTCACCAGAATATAAAATTTGTACAGATTACAAACATGAAAAATACCCTATTAGCTTTAGTTTATATAAATATGCTCTGCTATATCAATATGTTCACTCTATGTGCACAACATATTTCCCTTGGGTATAAATTTTCATGGGATGTTGTTAATATCTAAATCATACTTGCCTAGATACAGTTTTAAAAAAAAGTCTAGTGGCTTGACTTGAATTAGAAGGATTTGAGCTAACTAATCTCAGGGCAAAATCGAAAACAATTAATGGTCAAGCATCTACTTAAATGGAATTATCCCACTCCTGGAGGGGTTATTTCCATCCAGGCTTCTGTTGTTCCTTTTCCAAATCATGCCTTTAAAGGACACATAAGCTTCTGATAGAAAAGGTTTGGCAGAAATGTGTATGAGTCCCTCCTGAATTGGTTTAACCTTCATGTACGGAAGATCAACACCAGATGAGGGAAGAGCTGAAGAGGACCGTATCCCAACCAGCATCCTCTGCTGTTTAGCTATGCCTGTCTCCTTCACATAGTTCTGCAGGAGGACCAGCTCAAAGTAGGGAAAAAGCTTTAAGCGGTTTATGTGAATGAGCCAGACTTACTCTCCCAGAGGCTCTTCCCTAATTTCACTGTGACTATACTGCTCTTACTTAAAGGTTTCCAAATTCTGTCGCTCAAGTTCTTTGTTTTCCAATTTCTCTTGAACATGATCAAGCTTTGTTTGTAGGTGATTATTTGTCTGGAGAGCTTGCTCCAGGCTCATAGCCAGTTTCCTGTTGTCTTCTCTAGCTACATCTAGAGCTTTTTGTAGAGGTTCCATCTGAAAAAGAAGATTGTTTTTAATCCTGTTGTTCCACTGTAAAAGATACTAGAAGTACATAACACTGTATATTCCCTCTTTAAACTTTGAAACAATAATTACTTGGAACCAGAAACAAAGACTCCAGAGGCCTGGGGTATGTATAAGTGAGAACTCATTACAGACAGTGCTTAGTGGGCTCTTAGAAGGTGATGGGAAGGGTATGCTCCACTGGTCACTACAGAGTTTTCGAAAACAGAGCCAACTTATTTATCCTAATTTCTAAAATTTTAAATTAGTTAAATTCCCCTTCTTGATTCTTTAACTTCACTGCCTACAGAGATATGGACTGGCAACTGCTCCTGTATATTCCTCTAGAAAAAGCTTATTCATATGAAATATCCCTGTGTATTTTACATGTGTATATATGTGTAGATACATATTTATATATGTATATACCTATGAATGAATGTGTTTCCTTATTTAGTGGGACTACCCTACTGCTAACTGAAGTTATGTTACTTTCTAAGCCCCTTAACATTTGCAATACCTTACGCATTAATATATGAAAAGAATGTAGACCATATAAGACAAGAAGAATTAGGCATAACTATGGTCCCGGTTTGCTAAGTGACTCGCTGCAAGATTATAGACCAGTTTCCNCGGTTTGCTAAATGACTCACTGCAAGATTATAGACCAGTTTCCCATTTGGGAATATGTATTGTTCAAAACTCAGACTTGAATGGGAAGGAAATTTACCTGATTATTTTACTCCATTTTTCCAAAACAGTGCTATCCCAATAAAATGGAAAAAAAAAAAAAAAACACTAACATTATCATCCATAAAAACCTGGCTCCTACCTCACTGTTGTGCTGGGCATCCACGACAAGCATTCTGGCCTGCCACTGGTCCACTTCTGCTTCCAGCTTCTGTACCCGCTGCTGATTTAGAGCCCTAAAGATGGAGAGCGCAGAGAAAGTGACTTTCTAGAAATGGAAAGCACCATCTAGAAATGATACCACTGGGACATGCAGGGCACTCTTCTAGGAAGCCGAAATGGCATTAGGTCATGGGCTACAGATGCTCAGGATATCTGAGAGCTGGCAGGTGATAATCCGCAACCCCAGCGTCAGAGTAAGAAACTAATTCTCCTGGGGATTAAAAATCTGTCCCATCTCTATGATTCAATTTTGCTTGGTATATTAAACTATCAGTACAAGTTAATGACTAAGTGAAAAATGGGTAATTTTATACTATATATATATATATCACAGGCACAAAAATGTATCACTTCTAGATGGACTGGCTTACTCTTGAGATTTCTGCTTTTTAACTAGAATTTTATTGTGAACAGTAAACTGTTTTTAACACCATCCCCTTGATTTCTTTAAGTTCAGAGGTAACACTGATTCATAATGTAAAAAAAAAACTTAGCATGATGAAGCATATAAAAGTCAATAATTCGCCCATAACACAGAGGAAATATGTACCAGTAATACATTATACTTAGAGGCCTTATTAAACTCATACCATTTGTTCATTAACCTAAACGGGAAATGTGCATGTAATTTTTGAAACATTCAAAGGAGTTCTCTTACAGCTGAAAGTTCTCAGAATGATTCCTCTAAAATAATTTATTAAATAGTATACTAATAAATGGATAATTAATTCAAAATGAAGATGCTTGGCTTTAATAATCTTGACAATTACTATTCTGTAGACCCAAGGGCAGGTTTAAATGGTGTAGAAAACAGCAAGGATAAGACAGCATTTATCACATGAATTGCTGGAATACATATTAATTTACACTACTACAGAATATGTGAATTTTTGGACATCATTTTTGTAATTCCAGATTCTCCCAAATGTGCTAGTTCTTTAAGTACCATTTCACTACTTTTTTCATAAAGGAAGCAATATAAAGTGACTGCTGCTTGGTCATACACTGTTCCTTACTACAACACAGCAGAAAAGTTTAAGTACAAAGACAAAAATCTCTGGTACCTTTCTTTCTTGAGGCCTGCAATCTCTGAATCCCTTCGGCCAAGCTCTATTTGCACTTTTTCCAGAGCACCTTGCATCTTACTGTGAGAAGCCAACACATTCTCTAACATGATTGTCACTTTGCAGTTGTCTTCTTTGGCTTCTGCCAGTTGTCGCTGAAAGTTTCCCACCTAACAGAAGATGAAATAAGACAATGTTTTGATCCGGTCTAATTATTCTTCTGGAATTCCATCACATCCACTAGCTTTGTTTGTAGTGATGCTTTCTAAGGCCCACTTGACTTCACATTCCAGGATGTCTGGCTCTAGGTGAGTGATCACACCATCATGATNCCAGTACCATACAGTCTTGATGACTGTGGCTTTGTAGTATAATCTGAAGTCAGGAAGGTTGATTTCTCCAGCTCCATTCTTCTTTCTCAAGACTGCTTTGGCTATTCGGGTCTTTGTGCTTCCATGTGAATTGTGAAAATTTTTGTTCTAGTTCTGTGAAAAGTGCCATTGGCAATTTGATAGGGATCACATTGAATTTGTAGATTGCATTGGGTAGTAGAGTCATTTTCACAATATTGATTCTTCCTACCCAGGAAAATGGAATACCTCTCCATATGTTTATGTCATCTTTGATTTCTTTCATTAGTGCCTTAAAATTTTCTGTGTACAGTTCTTTTGTCTCCTTAGTTAAGTTTATCCTAGATATTTAATTCTTTTTGTTGTAATGGTGAATGGGACTGATTCCTTAATTGCCCTTTCTGATTTTTCATTGTCAGTATATAGAAATGCAAGTGATTTCTGTGTATTGTTAGGTTGTCTATCCAACGTTTTTCTTGTTTCTTGAGATAGGACTGTATTGCTGTAAACTTCCCTCTTGGGTTTGAGTGGATTCTGGGAGTTGGTGATGGACAGGGAGGCCTGGCGTGCTGCAATTCATGGGGTTGCAAAGAGTCGGATACGACTGAGTGACTGAACTGAAATGAACTGAGTTATTCTTCTACTGCTGAGTCCTGTGACTGCTAGAAGAGCATCGAAAGCAGGTCTGGTACAATGCTAAGAGGAATAAGTGTGTATATATAAATTTTTTTTCCTTTTTTAATCAAAGCAGTTTTATTTAAATAAAACAAGAGAATATAAAATTCTTAAATTCATTTACAATTTCACAGAAATTTTCCACAGATAGGTGTGAGGTATGCTTCTACTATGTTTTATTTTTATTTTTAATTGGAGGATAATTAAAGTATATTTTATTTTTATTTTGTTTATTGAGTTATTCTGACTTTGAGAAAAAGAAAACGAGACCCCAGATCCTATGGCTCCAGTTAAAGAGTCTGCAGTGCTTCCTGACTATTGCCGTATCCCGGCACACACATCAGTATTAACTAGAGACAGAAGGACCGACAACTGCCTGGGCCTGGAGGTGGTCCTGGTGGCCCACACAGGCCCTGCTCAGCTAACCTTACCATGAGCTCAGAAGACACCACCTCGGAAGCCCATCAGAATGATGATGAGGGGGAGTGGGAGCCGCTGAAGAGCGGCGTTAGGTCACAGCCCTCTTTAGAGGGGAAGGAGTCTGGGATGTGACCTCTCCTCCCACCGAGAACACACACTGTTAAGAAGAAAGCACTATGTGATTTAACATAGATTCATAACAAAGTCTTACCACATTAATAAGACATAAGTAAGTGGCTATTATTAGCAAGGTCAGATGTGTTCAACAAAAATAACAGACCTTTGATTAAGAAAGAAAAAAACCCACTGTGAGTTAAATCATCTATTTTTAAGGGAATTTTAAAGTTTTTCTAAAGTTATCTTTCCTTTAGAAAAGAAAATTCTCCTCTGATCAATCCTCTTTTTTTTTTTTTTTAAACTAAAGGTAACAAGAAATGAAAGAACGTGGCTCATAAAAATTTCAGAAGCGCTTCATGTCAGTTACAGACTTCACAAAGGGGTGATGTCTTGCCTTCTTGTTCTCCCTGTCCTCCAGAGTTTCAAGGTCCCCTTTCAACTTCTGACTCTCTTTCAGGGCTGCATCACGGCCCTTCACTGCTTGTGAAAGCTCCTCTTCATTCTTTTCGAGAAGGGATTTCACCTGAGCAGAAAAGAAAGAAACGATAATAAATAACTTTCCCAAAGCACAGTCAGCAGTTAGAACGTCCTGCGCTTAAGTCGCTCAGTCTTGTCCGACTCTTTATGACCCCATCGACTGTTAGCCTGCCGGGCTTCTCTTCCATGGGGATTCTCCAGGCTAAAATACTGGAGTGGGTTGCCATGTACTCCCCTCCAGGGGATCTTCCCAATCCAGGAATTAAACCCAGGTCTCCCTCATTGCAGGCAGATTCTTTACCATCTGAGTCATCAGGGAAGCTCTGGTTAGAATGAGACACAGTAATTTAGAAGCCAAATTTAAAATGTTTAATTAAATATGCTTATCTGTAACTGCAAATTAGCTCTAGTAGCTGTTTTTCCCCTTAAAACTACAAAGGAAAAAAAAATCTGTTAATAAACATGGGCAAATCTCTAATACATATGTCAATATGAAAAGCCTGGATGAGGGATAAGGGAGATAAGACTATGATTAGGATGGCTACTGTATGGCACAAGGAACTCTTCTCAGTACTCTGTAATGACCTAAATGGGAAAAGAGTGGATGTATGTGTAACTGATTCACTTAGGACACCAGAAACTTAACACTGAAAACCAACTATATACCAATAAAAACTTCAAAATACTAAACAAACAAACACACAAAAAAACCCTCTGATGGTAAGATGAAAACTGGGGGAGAAATTGGTTATCACAGAATTTGAAAATAGATGTAAATTAACATAATACATAATAAAAGCAGATGAGTAAGTATCAAATAGTATCAAGAAAATAGTTATAAAAGTGTTCTAAATAGTGTTCTAATCCTAATTAAAAGTATTACAATTTTACATCCCTGAAACACTTTCAGTGTATCTACACAATCACTTCAGATCATCATACTATCTTAAATACTACTCTTTAAAAAAAAAATTTTATCTTGAAATAATTATAGACTCACAGGATGTTACAAAATTAGTGAGACAGTCCCCACGCACTCTTCACCCTGCTTCTATAATGACATCTTTACACCTTCACAATCTTACATGATTGTTAGTCAGATTAACTGGACTACAAAAATTACAGTTTTCACCATTTTTTAACCTGCATTCATCTGTGTATGCACACATACATATAACTCTATGTAATCTGATCCCATGCACAGATTCCGGTGACCACCACCACAGTCAAGATACAGACTGCCACAAAGAACTCACTTGAACTATTTCTTTGGGTTCATGTCCTCCCCAAATCCATTCCACGCTCCTTGGCAACCACTAACTTGTTATCTATCTTTATTGTTTTTTCATTTCAAGAATGTCATTTTAAATACTTTAAAATAATTACTTACACAAAAATTAACATTTTTAAAAACAGCCATACTGGGATATAGCTGACATACAGTAAGTTGTGTACATTTAACATGTACAATTTGAAATATGTATAAGCTCTTAAAATCATCATCACAATAATGAACAATTTCCATTATCCCAAAACTTCCCCTATGCCTTTTAGTAATCAACCCGTTCTCTCTCTCCCTGTTCCTACATGTCCACCCAAGGCCTCCACTGGCCTATTTTCTGTCACAATAAATTCATTTTTATTTCCTAGAATTTTATATAAATGAGTTATTTTATGTACAGTAAATCCTCTACATACAAATGAGTTCTAAGAACGTGTTCATAAGTTCAATTTGTTCTTAAGTCCAACTGTTAGTCTGGGTACCCAACTATCACAACCAGCTATGCAGTACTGTACTTTAATAGGTTTATAATACTCTTCAGACAATACATAAAGAACAAGCAAATAAAAATACTTTTAACCTTACAGTATAGTGCCTTGAAAAGCACAGTGGTGCAACAGCTGGCATACAGGGGCATCAAGTGAACAGGTGAGAACTGGCTGGAAGAGGGAGTGGAGGTGGGAGATGGTTAAGAGCTGAAGGCTCATCAGCAAGAGGAGACAGAGGGCACGCTGCAGTCTCACTCATGCCTGACACAGATGGCACAGGTTCTGGTTGTGTGCTAGATTCATTCCCAGCTACCTTCTTGAGAAAATGATCCAGTGACATCTGGGTAGTGTTAGTCACTCAGTCGTATTCTTATCTGACTTTTTGTGATCCCATGCACTGTAGCCCAGCAGGCTCCTCTTTTCACGGGATTCTCCAGGCAAGAATACTGGAGTGGGTTGCCATTCCCTTCTCCAGAGGATCTTACCGACCCAGGGATTGAACTCAGGTCTCCTGCATTGTAGGCAGACTCTTTACTGTCTGAGCTACAGGGTCATAGCTCTTTGGTAGCACTGGACTCTTTGGTAGCACCGCCATGAAATTAAAAGATGCTTGCTCCTTGGAAGAAAAGTTATGACCAAGTTAGACAGCATATTAAAAACCAGAGACATTACTTTGCCAACAAAGGCCCTTCTAGTCAAGTTATAGTTTTTCTAGTAGTCATGTATAGATGTGAGAGATGGACTAATAAAGAAAGCTGAGCACCAAAGAATTGATGCTTTTGAACTGTGGTGTTGGAGAAGACTCTAGAGAGTCCCTTGGACTGCAAGGAGAACAAACCAGTCCATCCTGAAGGAGATCAGTCCTGAATACTCATTGGAAGGACTGATGCTGAAGCTGCTACTCTAATACTTTGGCCACCTCACGCGAAGAACTGACTCATTGGAAAAGACCCTGACGCTGGGAAAGACTGAAGGCAGGAGGAAAAGGGCATGACAGAGGATGAGATGGTTGGGTGGCATCACCGATTCAATGGACATGAGTTTGAATAAACTCCGGGAGCTGGTGATGGATGGGAGGCCTGGTGTGCTGCAGCTCATGGGGTCACAAAGAATCGGACACAATGAGCAACTAAACTGAACTGAACTGGACTGTATTCTCAACAGCTGCTGCAGACTTCAAGTACCAGTCTACATTCGAACACTGTGCTGCCTCAAATGGAACTAACCTTCATGACTGGACACATGAATGCAAGTTTGAAAGTTCACAACTTGAAGATTCGTATGTAAGGGATGTACTATACTCATTTTTGAATGGTTTGTTTTACTCAGCACGGTTAAGATTCACTCAATCTTCTGCATGTTGCTGAACAGTATTCTGCTAGACACGTGAGTTGTTCCAGTTTTCTGTTCTATTCAGTCGCTCACTCATGTCTGACTCTTTGCAACACTATGGACTGCAGTATGCCAGGCTTCCCTGTCCTTCACCATCTCCTGGAGCTTGCTCAAACTCATGTCCATTGAGTCAGTGATGCCATCCAACCATCTGGTCCTCTGTTGCACCCTTCTCCTGCCTTCAATCTTTCCCAACATCAGGGTCTTTTCCAATGAGTAGGCTCTTCACATCAGGCGGCCAAAGTACTGAAGCTTCAACACAGTCCTTCCAATGAATATTCAGGGTTGATTACATTTAGGATCGACTGGTTTGATCTCCTTGCAGTCCAAGGGGCTCTCAAGAGTCTTCTCCAATACCACAGTTTGAAGGCATCAATTCTTTGGCATTCAGCCTTTTTTATTGCCCAGCTCTCACATCTGTACATGACTACTGGAAAAAACAAAGCTTTGACTATATGGACCTTTGTCAGCAAAGTAATGTGTCTGCTTTTAATATGCTGTCTAGGTTTGTCATAGCTTTTCTTCCAAGGAGAAAGCGTCTTTTAATTTCATGGCTGCAGTCACCATTTGTAGTGATTCTGGAGCCCAAGAAAATAAAGTCTGTCACTGTTTGCCCATCTATTTGCCATGAAGTGATAATTTTAAACTATTACAAATAGAACTGTTTTGAGCAGTTGTATACAAATCTTTGTGTAGATATAAACTTTCATTTATCTTTGGTAAATACATAGGGGTGGAAGAGATAGGTCATATGGTAGTAATATGTTTCATTTGAAAAAAAAATTGGCTGCACCAGGTCTTAGTTATGGCATGTGGGATCTAGTTCCCTGACCAGGGATGGAACCTGGCCCCCCTGTATTGGGATTGCAGAATCTTAGCCACTGGACCACCAGGGAAGTCCCCTGTTTCACTTTTAAAGAAACTACCAAACTATTTTCCAAAATTGTTGATCTTACACTCCCTTCAGCAATGTATGAGCTCCTCCATATCTTCACTAACACTTGGTACAATCAGTTTTTCACTTTTAAACATTCTACTAGTATGTGGTGGGCTTCCCAGGTGGCACTAGTGGTAAAGAATCCGCTTGCTAAGGCAGGAGATGCAAGAGATGTGGATTGATCCCTGGGTCCAGAAGATCCCCTGAAGGTGAAAGTGAAAAGTGTTAGTCGCTCAGTCGTGTCTGACTCTTTGTGACTCCATAGACTATAATCCTCACCAGGCTCTCCTGTCCATGGAATTCTCCAGGCGAGAATACTGGAGTGGACTGCCATTTCCTTCTTCAGGGGATCTTCTCGACCCTGTGATCAAACCTGGGTCTCTCACATTATAGGCAGATTCTTTACTGTCTGGTAACCCACTCCAGTATTCTTGCCTGGAAAATTCCATGGGGAGAGAAGCCTGGAGGGCTATAGTTTATGGGGTCATAAAGAGTCAGACATGACGGAACACACACACACACCAGTGTGAGGCAGTATTTCACTGTGGTGTTAATTTGCATTTCTCTGATGCCTGATGTTTAACATCTTTTCAAGTTCTTATTTATATCCATGTATCTTTTTACTGAAATATACATTCAAATACTTTGCCTCTTCTTTTTCCAAACTGCTTCCTTCCTACTGAGTTTTGTGATTTTAATAAATTCTGGAGACAACACTTTCATCACATATGTGATTTGCAATTGTTTCTTCTCCCAGCCTGTAGTTTATCTCATTTTCTTAACAATGTCTTTGAAGAGCATAAGCTGTCATTTCTCTTTTTTCCTTTCCTTATGGATCATGCTTTTGATGTCAAATCTAAGAAATCTTTGTGTAATTCAAGATTACAAAGCTTTCTTCCAATGTTTTCTTCTGGAAGTTTTATAGTTTTAGGTTTTACTTTTAGGGCTCTCATCCATTTTAATTTTTATATACGGTAAGAGATACATATCAAAGGTATTTTGCTTTTTGATTTTGCATGTGACACACAATGGCTTCAGTACCGCTTGCTGAAAAGACCATCCTTTGTCCACTTTTGCTTTTGTTGAAAATAATATGTGTATAAAATTATTCAAGATAGGTATCACATTCACATTATTTTTAAGATACAAAAGGATACAGTGAAAAATCTCCCAGCCACCCAGCTTCCTTTCTTGAAAATAACATTGCCAATTTATTACAATTCATTTTAGAGATACTCTTTGCAAAGGTGAACATATGCATATATTCTTCATCCTCCCAACCCTTTTGCACACAAAAAGTGAAATATTTTGTACACTCTTCTGAACCTTGTTTTAACCTACGTTAAGATATTTGTATATCTTATATTTAAAATCTGAAGATATTTATATATCTTATGTATCTGAAAATATATATATATAAAATATATATTTGTATATCTTAATACATCTTATATATTGTGTGTGTGTGCGATAAGTCCCTTCAGTCATGTCCGACTCTCTGTGACCCCATTGACTGTAGGCCACCAGGCTCCTCTGTGAAAAAGTGAAAGTGTTAGTCACTCAATTGTGTTTGATTTTTGTGTTTCGACCCCAGGGATCGTGCCTGCCAGGCTCCTCTGTCCATGGAATTCTCCAGGCAAGAATACTGGACTGGGTATAGCCATTCCCTTCTCCAGGGGATCCTCCCAACCCAGGGATCAGACCCAGGGATCAAATCTGGGTCTCCTGCATTGCAGGCAGATTCTTTACCATCTGAGCCACCAAGGAAGCCCAAGAAATAAAAGTAAATAAAGGCAAATTGCCCTTTGTGGGAAGAGGGCACTCCAAACATCAACAGAGAATGCCTTTTCTCCACATCTCCCTCAACATTATACTTCCCTATAACTTTTAACGTGTAACATTGAAAATACTTTTTCTGTAGGGATCCAAGCATGGTACAAAAGATGCTAACTTAGACGTTTTGAAAACCTATTGAACGGGAAAAATACATTAGGAAGAATACAGTTTTTACAGTTTTACCAGTGTTTACATAAATATGAAACGGCCACTATCTAAAGTACTTAACAAAAGTATCTAAACAGTAGTCAACTCTAAGACAAGTTAGAGAACTTTCTGTTTTTAAATAGGAAACAAAGATAGATACTCTGGTAAGTTTTTTGGGGGAAATATATGCCAGCATCCAAGATATTAGGGCTCCTATTTATGTACTTCTACTTTAAAATCAGCCTTTATCCAAACATTTTACTGTAAATGTTAAGATTATTAACATACTAATTTTTAAGAAATAGAAAATTAGATTTAAAAAATCTCAATGGTTAGTGTTAAGCCAAATTGGACATTTCTGTGTCCAAAAGAAAAATTAAGTATAAGAAAGCCAGAATGATGGTTTCAATCTACATTAGTCTATTCTGTTTGAGAAGAAGTTTGCTTCCTTGTTACTATGCACATCTCTAAACTTTATCTCTCTAGATGTTACTACTTTTCTTCACTGTTGTATAAATCTGAAATTTCGTTATGATTTCCGGTCTTCACTTACCGAATTTCGATTAAGAAAATTTGGTGACTCATCATTTATTAATGGTCTTGAGGCAAGAATGTCTATTTTACCTTCTAGTCTTCCCTCCATGGTTTTAATGGCATTCAAAAGAGTCTTTAGAGAGATCCTAGAGTCTCCAATCTCCTGAGAAGACCTCACAGAAGCCAGGGTAGGTGCAAAGGTCACACGGCGTGTGGGGTTTGGCGCAACACTGGGCAAACCAACCGAGGAAGTCCGCTCCTTTACACTGTTTCCAGGAGGCCTGTAGCTTTCAAGGAATTTTGAAGAAGCAGGCCTCTCTGGAGATTTCCTTCTTCTTGGAGGCATCAGCAATTGAGAAAAACAAATCAACTAAACCTAGGATTATTTCTCAATGAGCGCCCCGTTTACTGTGAGAAACAACACAATGTTTTAAACAAAGCTGAGATGGAAAATATACTTAAAAATGTGTTCCTTTGCTTTCAGAATTGAAAAAAAAAATACCAGAATGAATTATGTCCTGGTGAAGAAAGAAAGCGTATCTAACGAAGCCCCCTTTACCAGTGAAGTCAGATGGTTAGAACATTAGCAGCATTCCATCTGATGACACATTCTAGTTCCTCGGTTACCAGAGGTATAACATACACAAACGTTACAGACATAGACACTACACAGGCTAACACTGAGTGTTACAAATTAAAAATAAACAGATAATGTGGTAAACTGTAAATCACTGAAATGAATCACTTTTTTTTACTAACACATATTCCTGGATTTTTTCTTCACTAAATGCTTTATATACTGAATGTTTGTCTAATTTTTTCCTCATCTGTTAAAGTATTATGTGACTTATTACAGGTTTTCAGTCTCAACAGCCACGATGCAGACAAGTAAGCACCTTCGCTACTAATACCTCTTTCAAGTGTGCTGTTGTGGGTCTTGCTGGCACCAAGTTCTGTCTTTGCCTATAACTAAAAAATCAGAGATACTTGTTCCTTGCATCGGCCAAAAGTTTTAAGGCTCACATCAAAGAAACCCACTTTCTCTATGAACAACATGATTCTTGATGCTTTCATCATAATAATTCTCCCTAAGGATGCTCCCAATACAATCTATTTTGTTTCTGAAAGCCATAATCTTCTATAATAAAATCTACTGAGTACATTCCTAATCCTCCAGTTAGAGCATAAGCAAGCTGAATGTCCCGATCCTGATTCTGGCATTTTCTGAAATCCTCTAGGATGAAGCGGAACTTTGTACATAGAGGGTGTTGCACAGTGAGAGCACAGAGAGAATATGGAGTACAGTGAGAGAATAGTCATCTGCCTGGGACTGTACGGTGAGGTGGGGACAGAGGCCTGTTTCTTAAAAGCTAATGAAAACATAAAAGCAATCTGTTTTGTAGCTATTAATCACACCTGAGCATATTTGCCTTCTAGTGCCTTATTCAACTTGCGTAGATGGTCATTCTGTGAACTGGTTTCAGTAAGAGAATGCAGTTGTTCTTCTAGCTGCTTAACTTTTGTCTAGAGGAAAAAAAATAGAAGAGCAATAAAATAAGCCTTGCTGATGAAATATATAGATATATACACTCAAAAAAAGGAAAAAACAAAAGCCAAGAATTTGGGTGAAAAAAAAATCAAAGCAAATTCTTAAGAAAGCAATCCTACATTTTTCAATGATTCAATGTCAACTAAAATAGTTACTTCAACAAATAAAAGTAGGCCATAGCCATATACAAGTACTGAGATAACTCATTTATTTGGTTTATAGCACTTATGGAAACTCCAAATTAACACAGTTCATGAACATAACAGTGAGACTTTGTGGGCAATGTATTTCCATTTCTATTTCAAAGGAATTGTGGTATCTAGCACTCTGAAACCTGAGTATAAATAATTAAATTGTTAGTATGTAAGGAGGAGACAGAATCTTGTGTTTTACCAACAGAGAATTACAAAAGCTGAATTAACAGAATTCTTATAGGCTGAATTATATTTGAAAACGAACTCATAAAGCTGACTATTCATATCTTTAAAGATGATGATCATTTGGGGGAAGGTGCATGTTAAGTTGCTCCAGTTGGTCCAACTCTGTGGGATCCTACGGACCTCCACCAGGCTCCTCTGTCCACAGGATTCTCCACAAGCAAGAATACTGGAGTGGGCTGCCATTTTCTCCTCCAGCCCAGAGACTGAATCCTAGTCTCTTACTTCTCCTGCATTGGCAGGCAGGGTCTTTACCACTAGTGCCACCTGGAAGCCCCAGTTGGGGAAGTGAATCATTAATATTTATGTACAAATCTCCAAATTGTGTACTTCTCTATGTTTTCTTCCTCTTATTTCCAATCCTCTCATACAAATCAACATTACTGAGCCTATCTCTGAATAAGAAAAAGTTTCATCCAAAATTTTTAAGTAAACTTCTTCCTCTCTTGGAATCTTTTATTTCCCACCTGTGAAGGGCATACTCCTCTTGGTTGTAGCTACTGATCATTTTCAGGAACTGCTAAAATTTGTGGGCTAATATTAACTTTTTTTAGAAAGGCTACATGAGAACACATTTTGTCTCAGGAAATCTCTCCTGTTCCATTAGCAGAATCCTCCTTTCTCTCATCTTTGCCTGTCTCTGTTTCTCTTTTCCACAGTGTACGGTATAAAACAACTTTACACATGGACATCACCAAAGGGTCAATACTGAAGTCAGACTGATTACATTCTTTGTAGTCAAAGACGGAGAAGCTGTAGACAGTCACCATCAACAAGACCTGGAGCTGACTGTGGCTCACGTCATTAGCGTCTCATAGCAAAACTCAGACCTAAAACAAAGTGGGAAAAAACACCAGGCCAGCCCAGGTATGACTTAAGTCAAATCCCCTACGAATATGCAGCAGTGGTGACGAATAGATTCAAGGGGCTAGATCTAGTAAGCAGAGTGCCTGAAGAACTATGGACAGAGGTCCATAATATTGTACAGAGGCATTGAACAACACCATCCTAAAGAAAAAGAAAAGCAAGAAGGCAAAGTGGTTGTCTGAGGAGAATTTACAAATAGCTGAAGAGGAAGAGAAGTGAAAAGCAACGGGGAAAGAGAAAGGTACACCCAACTGAACGTAGAGCTCCACAGAATACAAGGAGAGACAGAGGCCTTCTTCAATGAACAACACAAAGAAAAAGAGGAAAACAACAGAAGGGGAAAGACTAGAGATCTCTTCAAGAAAATTGGGTATATCAAAGAAATATTTCATCCAAAAATGGGCACAACAAAGGACAGAAATGGTAAGGACCTAATAAAAGCAGAAGAGATCAAGAAGAGACGGAAAGAATACAGAGAACTGTACAAAAAAAGATATTAATGACCCGGATAACCACAAAGGTGTGGTGAGTCACCCAAAGCCAGAAAAAAACCTATAATCCTAGTGGAGGTGATCAAATTCCAGCAGAGCTTTAAGATGATGCTATTAAAGTGCTGCACTCAACATGTTAGCAAGTTTGGAAAACCAAGCAGTGGCCACAGGACTGGAAAAGGTCAATCCTCATCCCAATTCCCAAGAAAGGCAGTACTGAAGAATGTTCAAAACACTGGACAACTGCACTCATCTCTCATGCTAGTAAGGTTATGGCTCAAAATCCTACATGCTAGGATTCAGCATTACGCAAACTGAGAACTTCCAGATGTCCAAGCTGGATATAGAAAAGGCAGAGGAACCAGAGATCAAATTGCCAACATTTGCTGGATCATAGAAAAAGCAAGAGAATTCCAGAAAAACATTTACCTCTGTTTCATTGACAATACTAAAGCCTCTGACTGTGTGGATCATAACAAACTGTGGAAAACTCTTAAAGAGATGGGAATACCAGATCATCTTACCTGTCTCCTGAGAAACCTATATGCTGGTCAAGAAGCAAAAGTGAGAACCCTGTATGGAACAACTGACTGGTTCAGGATTGAGAAAGGAGGATGACAGGGCTGTTTACTGTCACCTGTCTATTTAACTTACACACAGAGCACATCATATATGAGTTATGCCAGGCTGGGTGAGTTACACGCTGGAAACAAGACTGCTGGGAGAAATATCAACAGCCTCAGATATGCGAACAATACCACCCTAGTGGCAGAAAGCAAAGAGGAACTAGAGTCTCTTGATGCAGGTGAAGGATGAGAGTGAAAAAGCCAGTTTAAAACTAAATATTAAAAAAACTTAATTGGGTCATTTATTTTTCTGGAGTTGAGCTGGAGGAGTTGCTTGTATATTTTTGAGATTAATCGTTTGTCTGTTGCTTCGTTTGCTATTATTTTCTCCCAATCTGAGGGCTGTCTTTTCACCTTGCTTATAGTTTCCTTTGTTGTGCAAAAGCTTTTAAGTTTCATTAGGTCCCATTTGTTTATTTTTGCTTTNACACGCTGTATGGCTCCCCGTTAAAACACAGCACAAGACACGCTGTATGGCTCCCCGTTAAAACACAGCACAAGACACGCTGTATGGCTCCCCGTTAAAACACAGCACAAGACACGCTGTATGGCTCCCCGTTAAAACACAGCACAAGACACGCTGTATGGCTCCCCGTTAAAACACAGCACAAGACACGCTGTATGGCTCCCCGTTAAAACACAGCACAAGACACGCTGTATGGCTCCCCGTTAAAACACAGCACAAGACACGCTGTATGGCTCCCCGTTAAAACACAGCACAAGACACGCTGTATGGCTCCCCGTTAAAACACAGCACAAGACACGCTGTATGGCTCCCCGTTAAAACACAGCACAAGACACGCTGTATGGCTCCCCGTTAAAACACAGCACAAGACACGCTGTATGGCTCCCCGTTAAAACACAGCACAAGACACGCTGTATGGCTCCCCGTTAAAACACAGCACAAGACACGCTGTATGGCTCCCCGTTAAAACACAGAAGAAAACACGTTGTGTGGCTCCCTGTTAAGCGATTTCCACTTAAGGTTCAGGATTAGGATGGCTGCCTCTAAAGGTGTGTTTTGATGCAACAATTATTCTCATTTTAAATACAAGCAAACTGCTGATAATCTTAGAACTCAGTGGAAAAGTACTGATAAACACTCAAAGAATTTTAAATTTGCCTCTCTTCAAGCAAAACACACATTATTTTTTGTGGGTAATTTTTCTAAGGTAATTACCCTACCCCCAGCCTTGAGGTACTCAATAAAATTGCTCTGAAATTTGTTAGATGGCATATTCGCATCTATAAGCCCTTTAGTTTTTGCAGTGGGTCTCTTTTTCAAAAGATCTTTAATTCAGGACATTCAAATGGGGAAGAACATAGAAGCAAATAAATCCTGCTACCCTCAGAGATCTGATGTGTCTATGTCATTAAATCCATGAAAAATAGCTTCCATAGCTAGCTTATTAGGCAGTCTCAAAAAAAGCAGTATTTAGGTCAAGGTCATTCCCTCCTATTATTTCAAATGATCTAAATATAGAGATGTATTTTTAAAAACTGAGGTACAGCCGATTTACAATATTATGTAAGTTTCAAGTGTGCAACACAGTGATTCACAATTTTTGAAGATTATACTCCACTTAATTACTATGAAATATTGGTTACATTTCATGTGATATACACTATATCTTTGTAGCTTATTTTATGCATAGTAGTCTGTACCACTTAATTCCTTACCCCACTATTGCCTGTTATATATATTTTAAAATATAAAGCTATGAAAGTGTAACAGCAGTTAGGACTCCATGCTTCCAGGGCACGGGCGCAGGTCTGACCCCACATGCTGCACGGGACAGAGCAAAATAGAAAAGAAACGGTGAGACACCTAAGACACCAACGAAAAGAAAACTTAGTCTCATGTGTTTATAGTGCAAGCATTCTAAATGAATGCTATTAAGAAATTTCCTAGGTTTTTTTTTTTCAGTACGTGTGATAAATTAGAAATTAAGTAGGATAAGCCTATACTGTTAGCTCCTTCATAGTTTAGATTGAGTTTCATAACTGAAACAACCTGAACCACCAAAGTTATGTATTTTGACTTGAAATATGATAATATCGTCATAAAACTGGTAACTTCAGCACAGCACTCTTAATAATATTCATATAATTCCATGCAGCAATTCAAGCCAAAGAAGCATTAATACAGCAAACGACATGGGTGAATCTCTCAATTATAATGCTAGGTGAAAGAAACAAGACACAAAAAGCATATTCTGTTGGAATTATATAAAGTTCAAAACAGGTAAAACTGATCTGGCTAAAGAAGTCAAGATGGTGGAGAGTAAGGAGGGAGACTGACTGCAGAAGGTATGAAATGAGTTTTGGGGACATTCTGTTTCTCATGCTGAGGGCCGGTCACACGGACACCTTTACTTTGTGAAAATTCCCTAGTTGTACCTTATGTACTTCTCTTTATATTATGGCTTAATGCGATTTACTAAAACAAAACTCTTACATAACCTTTAAACTAAGATCATAAAACCAGCTGCCTGGTTTTATAATAAGGGGCCAAGTAGCTAACATAATATTTGAATCCAGCTAGTGTAAGAGT